CAGAAATAAACCTTCTGTAGGTTAATTTTGTCCGAAAAAAAATTGATTCCTTCCAGCTTTTCGTTAGTGGCATGAAAGTGTTGCTACTTACCAGGAAAATTGGGAGAGTATATCAAGTTTGTAACCTTTTTTTGGTTTATACAATCGACGAAATTCCCGCCAATGTTGCAAACTTGGAGCCTGGTGCGCGGGCAAAACTCGCGCATGTTTATTACGTTTTTCCGCTCTGAAGATTGGCCCTCTGAACTAACTGATCTTAATTTGTTGGAAGCGTTAACCTTGTGATTGACTCCTGACGCCTTGCCTCCCATGTCTTCTTCTGAGCTAGTTCTTCTTAGAGGAAGAAGACCAGCTAATTTCTAGTCAGGTTACCATCTGGGTAATTTTTCCGATGTTGAGATGAGATGATATAAATTTATATGACAAATGACAGAAAAAAACACTCATAGACAACGCCTTCATTTTTATGACAAACCAGCGTTTATTGCAAGCCTACAATAATTTCTGGATTACAGATAAATGCTTCACAGAGAAATGGTAACTTTATTACACCAATCGAAATTCTATCCGTCGTAGACTTACTAGTTATAGTAATATCTCCCACACCTAAGAATCAAAACACAAAAAGCAAGCCTCCTTAGCTTAATCACTTGTTTTGGTCAGTCCGGTAAAAAGTAGATTGTTGAGCAGCCCCCAGAACAGGTTTTTGATGCTTAAAGTTTAGTTCTTGAGACCAATCAGAATCTAAGCAGGTACAGAGACTTCACTGAGCAAGGGATATGTAATTAAAGCGAATTGTTTAAGACACTAAGTCTTGGAAGTCTTCTTACAAAATGTTAGAAAGTAGAGTAAATTAACGGGTCAAAAGCTTGGTTGTTAAACATCTATTCTTCAAAAATTTTCATAATAGTAATGATAACAAGTGCTTTGTCTAGAGGACCGACTAACTGAAGTACACAATAAAAAGATTGGCGGTGAAATTTTCAATAGTTTTGTACATATCTCAAGCCCGAGTAACCCCTTAAGTCCGTCCGATTAAGTAATTAAGAATGCTTTCAATCCTAATCTCCGCCGCCAAGCACAGTATTCCAAGCAGACTTGTCATATGACTTTTTGAACATCATCAGAGCTTTCCCGGCCAAGCAATGCGCATCACAAGCAGATCCATCGGGAAGATGGGACAAGATCATAGAAGGATTAAGAAGACAAGTAACAACAAGTAAGACGACAACATATGATAATTTCTTTAGAATTGTACTTAAATTACTACGTGAAAAAAAATCCATCATTTTTCAATTTTAAAACACTCTACATACCATTTTTATCCAGGTTATTCCCGCGCTTTTCCTCTAGTTTCCCTCGTGCCAGATGGAGTGCGTCCTCAGCCAAAGAGTACACATCAGTCACGCGGTCGCCCACTTCACGTCTTCCTCGACTACCTTGAGAGCCTGGATCAGTGGCGATGTATACAACCAGATTTCAGTAAACGAACACAAATAGACCATCAGCAAAAGATTAACCCTCCTCAAATTAAGACCTCACCAACTCTTTGACGCCAAAATCCTTCTCATCATGAAAACCCCAGTCCCACACCAATGTATGAGACCATCAACTTTAACACTTAACGAAAGATGAAGCCCCTCAAATTAGAAACATCTCTTTGTAAAATTTCTATTGCACTTGATGTACTAATTAAGGTTGTGCTCTAAGGCTTGTGAAGTTTATTTATCAACTGTGGAACTTGTGTTCCGCTTCAGCCATTTTTTTCTTACACTTCCCTTGCATGTAGCTAAAGTTTTTCAGACACAGCATTGAGAAACCATTTGGGGGGTCTCAATAAGTCCCATATCCCGGTTAATTGTTGACCTAAATATCCCGCATTCCGTAAATTTCAATTTCAAAAACTAAACATTTTCAACCCAGGATAAGCGGGAATTTTGATTTCAGTTTTGTAACTTTGCGGTCGTGTTTTCTGTTTATATTGTTTGTCCTTCTACTTCGAATTTGAATAATCTCAAATTACACAAAACATAAGCAGTGAAAAACATTTTTATACAAGAACATTTTATACTTCGATGAACTTTACATCCTGGGTTAGCGTCAACCGGCTTTCGAACAACCCGGTCCTGCAGATGTAATGTAGATGTTAAGTTAAGTTGAAAGCGTTGCACGTAATCAGATAACAATCATACCTGAACAACCATACAGTTCCGTCCTCATTGATATATGACGATACCACGCTGTTGGCCTGAGTCTGATGTAACGAGCTTGGATTGGCGGGTTTAACTTGTGGTAAACAATGCTGTCTCTGTCGTAATTTCCGTTAAACACCTAAACATAAAATCAACAAATCCAAAATATGAGGCTTGACAAGACATAAAACTATAATACTTAATTAGCAGTAAGACTATTGGACGACCAAGAAAAATGCATCCAATAATGTATGAAATTGTCAGATGGGTATTGTTTTACCTTTGGCCAACTCTGCCCTGCTGCTCTGTAATAGTGAAAGCTCACTCCATCGTCACTGTATTGAAGTTTGTATTTGGTCACCCACTGCCAGTATCCATTTCTTCCTTGTGTAGCTATACCTGTTAATTTGGTGTAACTACCAAGGGTTACCTGAATCCATTGAGAGTGATCATTCCAGCGAGCTGACCATCCCCCTTGTTTGCCTCCACCTGCCTTGAAATTCAACCTTGCCTGGATTGGGGCATGATTTGAATCCCATTGTGAAGACGCAGTGATTTGGGCATTTTTAATGAGATGGTTTTCCATGCCAAGAATTGCTGAACATCCTTTTTGGAAAAGAAGGGGAGCAAGATAGCTTTAGATGCATGCAATTCTTTAAAAGAGTGAAACAGTGTATCTACATGTAAATATTTTTATTTCATTTAACTATTTAGTTAGTTAGGTGGCGAAACGGGCTAGTACAGCTCTCGCTCTCCACTAACCCTATCTTGTGCCGAGCCCCTGGCTTCGGCTTAGCTGGCCTACCCCTGCTGTCTCCGTGTTCCTTTACCACTATCCTTCATATCATCGTGACCTTTGATCATTCCTTTTCCTTTTTTCTTCGGGCTGCCACTCCATCGCCACCATGCAGTAATTTTTGCTCTCCATTCTGAGCACATATCCAGTCCAGTTCCATTTTGGTATTCACACCTTTTGTTTCAGATATTGTCTGGTTTCTAACTCTTTGTGGCCACCATTTTATTAGGATCTTTCTCAGGCACATTAATTAGAATCTCTCCAACCTCTTTTCTTCTGTTGTTGTCATTTTCCAGGCCTCGCATCAAGGCCGCACCAGCGTCTCGAACAGTTTGATATTCGTACACAGTGTTTTCCAGACCTTCAGCAGCTTGAGAAAAGCTTCTGGCGGCTTGTTTAGATGTTTATTGACGTCTACCGTGCTTCCACTACCGTTTGTGACAGAAGCTCGTTCAGATACACACGTTTTTCTACGTCTTCCACTTCCTCATTTCCAATATTCAATTTGTACATGTCTTGCCTCGTGTATTCATTCTAATGACCTTGCATTTTCCTGCATTCAGCTTCAGTTTCATTCCTCCTGCGTTGTCCACCAGTCGGTCGGTCCTGTTTTGTACGTGCTCAAAGTTTGATGAAACAAGACCTATATTGTAAACAAAAACATCATGTCCAAGGGTAGTTGTGAAGCTCCATCTGGTGCCGTTTCTCTGCTGTTTCTCTGCCCTTCTGTGTTCTTCGCCAATCACGAATTCGGCAAGGAGCAAGAACAGGAGCCCTGACATGAAGCAACCTTGTTTAACGCCAGTGGTGATCTTGGACCATCTTTGTCTGTTCTCCCTAACTCATCCGGCAACACTGGACGCTAGAAGTCGTCATACATAATTTTCACCATTCTCGTCAGCTTTTCAGGAGTGCCAAAGACCCTCAGGATTTTCCACAGTCCTTCGCGGTGTATTGAATATTGCTGCTTGGTAGAGTTGTCAGGTTCTTCCTTTCCAAGCTGACTTTTTTTCTTCTTCACTCCCTAGCCAGACTATTTCCTCCTCTAACTTGCTCATGGTCTCTCGTGCACGCAGATTTTTTAAGTCAGGCCATTGCGGGTTCAGCTGGGTATGGAATGCCGGAACACTGTTCCTAGTCTGCCTTCCCATCAGTAACTGGGAAGGGGAGAACTTGGACGCCAGTAGTATTGACTTTTAGGCTAGTAATGCTTTAGGGGGGTCTTTTTTTCTTGTTAGAAGATTCTTCACAACTTCTAACTCTTTGCTAAACGTCTCCATTTGCTTTGGGAAATCTAGACCTACTTGTGGTATGCTTTAATCCTCATTCCTTAGCAAAGCAGGATAATTCTGCACTGTCAAACTGAGGACCATTGATGAATCGCACTTGCTCCGGGGCAAATGTAGACTTTAGTGGTCTAATGACCTCATTTGAATTTGTAGAATTTGCTCTTCTACATCATTAAAGTAAAATCTCAGGAAGATCAATAGTTTTGTAGTTTGAATTTTAGTGACGTCATGTGAAAACCAGCTATAAGAAATTACTTTGAGAACTGCAGGAGTCACGAAGGCCTGACGTTAATATGATTAAAGCCTGTCAAGTCACCCTCGTTTTTCTTTAGGGATATATATTAAAGAAAGTCCTGGTTTGTACGAAGAATGCTGCAAAGTCATTCTCGAAAAGACCGTTCGATTCGCCACCGTCTAAGAATCCACGATACGACCAGAAAACCTTTCTTTGAAATTAGATTCCTTGTTTTAGCTAGAATACCATTCAGAATGTGAAAATACCGACCTTTTCCTCGATGTCTTCCTGCTCGACACGCTTGCGCTCATCCACCTTTCAGGTTGGTGATGTCACGATGTCACACATGTGGCTTAAGAGCAGGATCTGGGTACGAGATCCAGTTACCATAATAACGTGCTAGAGATCAAGGATTTTTTTTTTTTCTATTTGTTTACTTACTATTTTACTTGTTTCGGTCGTTTCGCTTGTTTCGGTGGTTTCGGTGGTTTCGTGTCGGTCGTTTCGTTTCTTTGTTTCGGGTTTTAGTACATGCCATTCGATTCTTAGCCAAATTCTCTCTCGTTCCAGGATTCTTCCGGATTGAAATTAGAAATGCTCTCAAGTGACTGGGGTTTCATTCCCGGAGTCTAGTCATGAGTGACGTCACGAAATTAATTTGAATATTTTGCTTGTGTGCAAATCTATTTTTAGATAGATTTAATTGCCGATGGTAGTTCAAGGTGGTTCTACGTCTAGGCTGTACAGAAATAGGCGCTGGCAATTTAGCAGAGTATCGCTTGCCATTGTATTGTCTTGCAGGACCAGTAGCGCACAAAAAGGTTCAAAAGTTTAACGAGCTAATAGATCAAAGCTGAAAAGATGGCTTCAGATCAAGACCTGTTGTTCAAGACGCTCCTCATGTCCATTTCAAATCAACTCACGACAGAAGACCTCGAAAAAATGAAGTTCGGTCTTGAGTTACCTCAGGGCACCTTAGAAGACGTGCAAAAACCGTTCGAACTCTTTCGTCGAATGATGAACGCTAAGTTATTGTCTGCCGAAAATCGAGGTCACTTGGCGTCCCTGTTGCAGTTTGCTGGTCGATTCGATTTGTGTAACGAGCTGATGCAACACCGTGTGTCCCAGTTTGGGCCAACTGAAGGTGAGTTGAAGTTTACTGCTAAAAGTTTAGTCTACTTGATGCTTCTGATAGAGAATGGCATTTAATAGCTAACCCAGAGGAACGTACTAAACGTGCTCTAACCTTCGTTCTCACTACACATCTCGGAACCGTGAAAACTCGAGCACTATTTACAGCTCGTTATTCAGTCTCAAGTTTAATTAAGTTGATGAAAACTTAATGGCGTTCCTAAGTAACGAAGTCACGCGAAGTAGTGCCTCACAAATTTACTTCCAATCTAGTAAGGAAGAAAGTTGTTTCATCACAAATATCTGCTAGGTAGCTTACTACAACAGCGGAAGTCGATAAAGGGATTTCATGCGTGACCATAGTGAAATTACTGATTTATTGCATTTCAAAACGTATTTCAAATATATTTTTTCTCGTTCATTGTATTATTGAGATAGTTCTGGTGGCTCGAGTTTTATTTGTTTCGATGAACAAGTCAGAGGAATTGGAATTTTACTGGTAAATGCGAAATTGATGGGAGAGTCCCTATGCGTCATGACTGTCTATTGTTCACGTGCTCATTCATGAGTCGAATGTTACTAATATTGTTCACGTTCGTTTCCAGTCACGCTATCGTCCAAAATGCTTGTAGCAGTAGTTAAAATTGACAACGTTGGCAGTAGTAAGTCATATTGTGAGTTTTTCATTGTGAAATAATCAACCTTATCCGAAGAAAAATCCTTTTATTTTGTTGAGAGTTTTGCGCTTTGATTTTATGCTAGAGTAATTGTGACCAATTGTCGGATTCCTCGCGTGCTTTACAGAGACCATGACGTCATAGATCACGCTACTGCAGCGGAAAATTTATATTGTTTGCATACCGTAAGTGTAACAATCCTTATGAACAGTTTGTTCGATCACATGTTTGCTATTCGATTAAGTTTAGAGAACGCTTTAGTCGATTTTAGAACGTTTCCGTTAGAACCTTAGCCATTCAAACACGAATTCTGAATTCAGCTGATCCGGTCGATCGTTTTACAATGTAATTCCCCCTTACAATTGTCTACGATGCAGTTTATATCCCGGCCAAGACTCTATCAGAAACAGTATGATAACACTTTTATCAGTTCCGACTTTAAGCTACAGGATTTAGAGACGGGTGTTGGAGAAACTCGGCGTTTGTCATGCCAGTAGAAAAATGAAATTCTTAAAAATTGTATAATAATATGCATGATACCAGTTTCGGTCTACCCTCCTCCGAGTTCAGACTCCGTCAAATGCGCTAGCTGGCCCAATTCAAAACGGCGGCCGGTTGCGACTCTCGACAAAGAGATAATATCAAAGAGAGATGGAGATTGGGGATAGACATTGTAGCAACCATGTAGCCGTGACAAATTCAAAGACAGTGCGAGCGAGCCCTCCTGGTGGCTAACTAAAAAAGGAAATTTGACTACACTGCTTTATGCATGATATTCAAGGAAAATGTCTGGCCAAGTTTGACCCATTCCATGTTAAGATTAATCTTGAACAGACGAAATCATCCTTGTGCAAGTCTTACTTTCTTATCTTTTTTTTCCTTTTTGGAATTTTAGATGCCCGTCAGTGCTATGCCGGAGATCTCCCTTGCAGGCCTCCTCATTTTTACGGCAGGAGCCAAACTTTGGATGAAATTGTTGAGGTACTCAGTAAAAACAATGGCCAACGCCTTGTTATTATAACCGGCCCGCCAGGCTATGGAAAATCCTGTTTAGCGCAAACAATTGGACACACGATGCTTGAAAAACAATTCAAGGTCATCTTCCTGTGTTTACGCGAGATCAAGGCTGTGGATAAGATGTCTGCGAAGATTCTACTTGCCTTAAACGTTTGCCAGGGACTGGCCAACAAACAGTGTGACTTGGCTAAGTCGCATTTAAGGTCACTGACCACAAAGACTATATTAATTCTTGACAACGCTGAGGATCTTCTTAGTCAAGAAGACACGAGACATGATTTTAATAATTTTATTGACCACGTGGCCAAGTTCGCGCAGAATGTGAAATGCGTCATTGCTTCAAGGGTGTGGTGCCCAGCCTCCTCTCGCCACCCCGTCAAACTGCTCGCTTTAGAAAATGACGCCGCAGCGGAACTGCTCCAAGTGAAAGTCCAAGAATGCACCATGTTAACATTAGAAGACCATGAGGCCACGACTATTGCAAATCTTTGCTTCAATGTCCCTCTCATTTTGAATGCGGCCGCCGCCTACTTAGAATTCGTTAGTCCGCAGAAGTTGATTGAAATTTTGGAAGAAAGTTCTGCTCCTATAAACTTAGCTGATATGGACGATTTGTCGCCGGAATTTAAAATGAGGCGCTTTCTCAAGGGTTGTTTGCAACAACTCGGTCAAGAAGACCAAGAAGCCCTGGTCTCCTTAGCGGTCTTCCCAGCGGCGTTTGATTATGAACAGGCAGCGCGCGTGTATGATTCACCCAGGCTTGACGTGACTTTGATGCAGCTAGTAAAGAGGTCACTTGTCCACTGTGATGTGAAATCCAAGCAGTATTTTGTTCACCAAGTGATTCAACTTTGTTGCAAGGAAAACGCCAAGAACGACGAGCGGTTGTGCGCGTGTTACAACAAAGCACGAGAGAGGTTTGTTGAACATTATTTGGCCCTTATCACAGAACTTCATCGGGGCTTTCTAAGCAAAGGCCACATGCAACAGAACCTTTGTCGTTACTTTGCAGAGGAACAGTATATTATACAAGCAATTTGGTGGGCGGCAAAGGGTGGTACAGCGCTCGCCACACGCTGTGTAGAGATTCTCAACAATGCTGTGATTTTCTTAGCCAAAGTCATGAAGAGGAGTGAATTTGAAGAAGTTTACGAGCTCGTATTAAGCGCATTCCAAGGCGATTTGCGTTTAGTTGCCGACTGTCTTACTTGCGTCGGTATAAAACAAATCTACAGCTGTGAATGCCATCGAGCATGCAACGTCACGTCAGAGCGAGGCTACAGGGTTCTACAGAGAGCGTTAGAGATTTACGATCAGCTAGACCTGACCGAGGGAGAGCTGGTACTACAGTGCTACAGCAAGATCGCCCGCTGCATGGCCAAGAATGGAAACCCGTCAAGAGCACTGGAACTGAGTGCACGAGCTCTTGAAGCGCGGGAAAAGAAGGGAGAAGAAGAACCCCTGAAGTATGCGGCTTGTTGCAACGACAGAGCAGGTTTGACACGCTTGACTTCTTCATCGTTATATTCTGTATATGTTACAGATTGCGTACTCTGGTTACAATTTCTCACAACTGAGTGAACAAACGTTAAAGGAGCTACGTGACGGATTGCGCATCTTGAAAAGTCTAGACTAAAGTTTTCAAGTTCATCCTTTATAATCCGTGTTAATCTTCTCCATCCTTAACCATCCTTGTTCCTTTGTAGTTTACTATTATTTCTTTGGTGTTTTTCTATCTTAGTAAACTATCATACCGTGACTGAGCTCCTTTAGCATTGCTGTACAAGCACAATGTTGGAGACAGTGGATAAAAGTCAACATTGATGCGTGTCATATTGAAGTTTGTCGACAGAGATTTAAAATGTTATACACAATGCCGTATATTGTAGGCGCGAATTAAAATTGTTGCGCATAATTTTGCAGATACATATAGTAGACACGAATTTAAATTGTTGCGCACAATA